GGTCTAATTGTTAAATAGTTATGCCTGCTTGCCTGCTTCTCGATAAACAAACTTAAACAGCAGAGTTACAATTTATAAGTGTCTCCTAATAGTAGAAAATCAAGACATCTGCTTTCAATGTACCTAAAAAACGCACAAGTTCTTCTACATTATCTTACTTTGAATTGAAAACAAAGCAACCTAATTTCTTTGGATATGTATATAATTGTTTTTATTCTTCTTGTTGCATAAAAATTAGTATAAGTCTTTACTCAACCACCAACATGTTACGTAATAATTCCCAAATAGTAAAATTGAATATAGCGTTCTAGGCTAAAAATTATTAAAGAACTTAAGCTTTCGACAGCGGGTCTACGGTCTTCGACGGATAAAAATATGTGATAAAATGAAACGTTAAAAATTTGAATATAGAGAGTAATTCGCATAAAATAATTAATTTTGGACTGAACAAGACCTGAACAAAAATTCAACCGGGAATGAAATTTAAGAGGTTTAGTCAATCATTTTAGGTTACATTTGACTTAAATAATTTTTTAGGACAACAATTTGCCTCCTGGCCTGCGAAGTATATTTTGCCAATGATTCGCGAATTACTAGGATTGGTGACGATCATTTTCAATTGTTCTTCTCAATTGCTAGCGAATTTATGCACAAAGGGTTTTAGCCCACATACATGCAAGCAAGCCTTGGCCAAAGAACTGAGCAAAATCGTCCACAATTATAAATTGGGTTACACATTTAAAACATCTTTCCCTTTTTCCTCTGGAAACCTACAACCCAAATATGCTTTAATAATATTATTTAATTTTTTAACATGTTTTAGCTACCTGTCAGTGAACATTTACGAAATGATAAATAAAGTGGCATTTTTTCCTTGATCTCATGTTGCTTAGAAATGGCAAGACATCGATAAAAATCAGTTCAAGTTTCCTTTAATCGTTTCAGTAACACTCAGTAATAACCGATATGCTCTTATGTCATTTTATGTATCTCTCGAGCTTAATAACACCACGCGAGTCGGATCAATCAACTTTAGGGTGAGAGCATTTGACATGTGAGGGCAGTTCAATACTTGTTTTGACCGGATTGCTACAAACAGTGCCGTAGGCGCAATGGCCTGAAAATA